AGGAAACAACCCACTGCTATGCCAAAGTCGCCTCTTCTCAGTAAATGGGGTATGCCTTGCGACACTTCTCCCCCTGCAGGAGGTTACAGCTGTGGTCCACAATCCCAGGTTTCTGCTGAACACAATCTGTGGCACGCTTTCATGATCTTCAGAAATCCCAGGGGGGAACAAAAAAAACCCTGTGCTTTTATGCTGGGCTTTCTGGCTGGCTGAAGTCAAACCACTGGGGTGAAGCAAAATGTGTCCCACTGTCATCCTGTGTTCTTCCGGGAAACTGCACAGCGGTGAGGATCACAGGCTTTGAGGTTGGACTATCTGAGGTCTGATCTCAACGCTCCCATTTACTGATCACTTTCACCTTTCTGCCCTTTGACTTCTTTGGTTGCAGAAGGGGGGGTGATCGTAAGAGGGCAGATGGGAGAATGAAGGGACAGTACATGCAATGTGTTCAGACCCATCACGTCTGAGGTGTTAAGCATGTACAGTTTTTGTATGCCAGTCTGGCCTCAATATGTTGGTTTCTTAAAAGGAAGGTGCTTTTAGCAGAGCCTGGCCCGGAGCAAACACTTAACAGACAGTAGCTTTTGTGTTTTCAGAAAGGGGACATGCACATGTCCTTTTATTTTGCCATGACCTGTTCTTTCAGAGAATTATAATGAAACGAAAAGGATTTGGGACATGTGGATCATATCATTTAGGACGATTTGACTCTAACAGAACACCCAACTTAGGGTGGCTCAAACAGTAAGGAGATTTCTTTTTTAAATCTCCCATTCTGGGGCATCTGGGTGGCGCAGTTGGTGAAGCACCCGACTCTTGGTTTCAGCTCAAGTCATGATCTCTGGGTCGTGAGACTGCGCCCTGCGTTTTGTGTGTGTGTGTGTGGGGGGGGTCTGGGCTCAGCGGGGAGTCTGCTTGGGATTCTCTCTCCCTCTCCTTCTGCTCCTCCCCCCAAAATAAATAAATGTGAAAAACTCTGATTCTGTGTTTCACTGCAACTAACATGCCATTGCTTGTAAGATGCTCCTCGCATTCAGAAATATTAAAATGTTAAAATATGTGTCTCTGAGTCAAAACAAAAGGTCTGAAGGTACGGGGCTCTAGGACTGATATTTCGGCAGTTCATCATGAAGACTCTTTGTTCTTTGTTTCTGCTCTGCCACGTCAGACTTTCGGCTCTGGCTTTGGAACAAGCCTCATGGATGCAAGAAGGCTGCCACAACCTCAAGCATCCTATCTTCACAGCGTCCCAAAGCCAGAAGAGAGGCTGTTGTTTTTAAAAACAAGAACACTTTCCCAAACTTGGCATAATTGCATCACACACCCTTTTCCGAATTCCTGGCAGAAGGAATAGATTTATCGTAATTGTCTGGTGCCGGCTCATCAAGATTCGCCCTTAGGGCTGGGGAGGAGCCTGCCTCCACTGAAGCACAGACAGCCAGTAGCTTTGTTCTGCTTGTGAGATGGAGGAAGAACCGCTGTGGGCTGCCACGCAGATGAACCTCCTGTGAATCACCGGGTCAGCTGCTCCCGACGTAAGCAGCCAACTGCTTGGGATTATACCTACCCACCTTCCTGTTCTTACTAATGATAGTAGAGCTTCCTTTCCAGGTTAAGAAATTAACCTCAGTATTCCAAGGACTCGGCTTCCTATTAATGTGGGTTTCAGATACCATATCTGAAATCCTGTCAGTGAATGGAACCCAGTGAGCTCATCACCCCAACACAGCAGGCCAACTGACTAGATTTCACCTCTGTGCTCACAGCCAAGGCCCTTGCACCGCACCGAGGACTTTGGCCCTGCTCCGCTAGTGTTCTGCTTCTGTCACTGAGCACTGGACTGTGTGACTCTGTCCATATCCATAACTACAGATACACACTAGCCTTGGATAACGGCTGCATAATAATTCCACCGCACATAAAATTCAAGCATCCCAGACCTCGGGGCACCTGGCTGGCTTAGTTAGTGGAGCACAAGACTCAATCTCAGGGTCCTGACTTCAAGCCCTGTGTTGGGTGTAGATCCTACTTAAAAAAAAAAAAAAAAAAAAAATCACTTCATCTAACACTTTGGTCCCGACAGCTCTGAACCCCTGCCTGCTCATTCAGAAAACTGATGCATTCTTTGTTGTCTTTCCCACTGATTTCTTTTTAAGATTATTTGTTTATTTATTTATTTGAGGGGGAGAGAGAGAGAGCGCGCATGCACACGGAGCACAGGAGCAGGAGGGGAGGGGCAGAGGGAGAGGGAGAAGCAGACCCCCGCTGAGCAAGGAGCCCCATTTGGGGCTCCATCCCGGACGCCTGAGATCATGACCGGAGCCGAAGGCTGATGCTTAGCTGCCTGAGCCCCTTGCCCCCCCGCCCTGGTCTTTCCCATGGATTTCTGGCCTGTCCAGGCAGTGTGCCCCACAGGTGCACAGTCACAAGTCCTCTCACTGCATTTTGCTCTGGCCTCTTGGCCACTGCCCAGCCACCCGGGACACCCCATCCGCTGTGAGCCTGCTGCTCTTCCGCTAAGTGTCCTGTCGGGTGTGAAAGCTACACTGTGGGCACACCAGGCGGCAACCAGTCCGGGACTCAAGACAGCCTTGCTAGAGCCCAGAGCCCCACGGTCTAGCACCCATCAGCCCCTGCAGCCTCTCCTCCTTACCCTTCCTGCAATAAAGTGGCTCAAAAACTGTGGAACAGGTGCCCATCATTCCCCCCAGTAATTTCATCCCTAACAACCCCTGCAAACACACAAAACCCCTCTTTGCTCCTCTCCCCCACAACCAGAAGCCCTATAATAAGAATGACGTATAGACACTGGTGCGGTACAACTTAGTGGTGAAAGCATGGACTCCACAGGCAGGGCCCAAACCCCGACTCCAGCAATTACCAGTTGTGTGAATTTGGGCAAGTTACTTCATTGCTCAGTGCTTGCATTCCCTCATCCGTGAAACAGGGGTAGTGATGGTGCCCTTCACAGGGCAGTGGTGCACATTAAACAAATCAATGCACGTCTGTCTAGTGCTCCAGGAGTAACATAGTAAGTGCTATGAGGTATCCACTCTGGCTATTGTTCACCTGCAGCAGGTCGCTCGCCTGCGGACCTGCAGTGTTTGGAACTTCCACACTTAAAACTCCCTCTCCAGGGGCGCCTGGGTGGCTCAGTTGTTAAGTGTCTGCCTTTGGCTCGGGTCATGATCCCAGGGTCTTGGGATCGAGCCCCGCATCGGGCTCCCTGCTCAGAGGGAAGCCTGCTTCTCCCTCTCCCTCTCTCCCTGCTTGTGTTTCCTCTCTTGCTGTGTCTCTCTCTGTCAAGAAAATAAGTAAAATCTTAAAAACAAAAACAAAAACAAAACTCCCTCTCCAAAGGTGCCTGGGTGGCTCAGTCATGATCTCAGCGTCCTGGGATCCAATCCCACATTGGGCTCCCTGTTCAGTGGAGAGTGTGCTTCTTCTTCTCCCTCTCCCTCGGTGCCCTCCCTCTCTCTTTTTTTTCCCTTTTTTTTTTTAAGATTTTATTTATTTATTCATGAGAGACAAAGAGAGAGAAGCAGAGGGAGAAGCAGGCTCCCCGCTGAGCAGGGGGCCTGAATGTGGGACTCGATCCCAGGACCCTGGGATCATGACCTGAGCCGAAGGCAGACGCTTAACCATCTGAGCCACCCAGGCGCCCCCCTCCCTCTCTCTCTTAAATAAAATCTTAAAAAAACAAAAACTCCCTCTCCTAGTGTACAGGGAGAGAACCCACTCCCCCTTTTGGTATTATACAAAACAGTATCTTCAAGGGTAAGACAGAGAAACTTATGGGCCAGTTTTACAAGATATAAGTTACTGTTAAGTGAGTCCATGATTATCTGTTGAGTATGTTCTGTGAGCAGAGGCAGTGGAATACCAACCAGGCACTGTGAGGAAATTTAAAAGAAAATAAAAATAATTAAAAGAGATGTTTCCTGGGGCGCCTGGCTGGCTCAGTTGGTTAAGCGAGGGACTCTTGGTTTCCCCTCAGGTCATGATCTCAGGGTGGCGGGATGGAGCCCTGGGGTGGGATTATGGGGAGCCTGCTTTAAATGCATGCTCTCTCTCTCAAATAAATAAATAAATAAATCTAAAAAAAGAGAGACAGATGTCTCCTGCCTTGAAGAGCTTACAATCAAATTAAGGTAGGCAAACATAAACAAATGTGGCAACTTGATAATAAGCACCTGCGACCTATGGCCACATACAGACTCAATGCCACTGAGATCATCGCTAAAAGGTTGATGAGAATGGGGGGAGGCTAATGCAGAAAAGGCTTCCCGGTCTTGCAAATTTAAGTTAATTTCCAAATAGGTGTAAATTCTGGCTCTGACTAGTGAGCGTTTGCCTGAAGAATAATGGTCAGAAGGGGCGGTGGCTGCTACACACCACACTCTGCTCTTTCCCGCCCCCGCCGGTGGAATTAAAGCCACCCAGAGGGTGGGGCTTAGGGTCTTTCGGAGCCGCCGCTCGCGGGCGCCCCCTGCCGCCCGGGCCTCCCCGCCCTCACCCCAACTTGAAGGGCAGCGGAGCAGGACAACCTACAGTCCCCCGGGAATCTGCCGCCCCTTCTCTAATGCAACCCACCACCCAGATGACCCCTCCCCGCCCCAGTGAAATCCGCAGAGCAATTAAGAATGCAATCCGGCCCGGCCTCCGTTTCCTCATCCGTTCCCCTCGTGAGGCCCCCTTGAACTTTCTGCGCCACCCCAGTCTCGGCCAGGGACAGTCTGTGGACTCAGTAGATAAATGGCTGTGGCTGAAGCAACCGTCCATCTTCGTTTTCTTCCAAGATCAGGCCTCCCACCCCGGGCTCTCTACTGTCCCTGGTGGCGGCCACCATCTTACCCCCACGTCCAGAGTCGCGCTGAGGATGCGGCCGCCCCCATCGGCGGTTGTTTGGACTCCATTTCCCCTGAGCCCTTTCTCAACATCGCGCGAGCTCTCGCGAGACTGCTGAGAGGACGTGTGCGCAGGCGCGGCCCCACCTTCTTTTCGGGGCAGGCCTCGTGGCTGGGAGGCATGGCGGCTTCTGGCTGGGTCCAACGGGATGAACATTCTCGAGCCTTTGGCTGTGGTAAGGCTGGGGAGGTGGGGAAACGAGATCTTCCTTGACCCGACGCAAGTTCATTCGGCCTCCCTTGCCTCAGAGGCGGAATGGTGTCGATAAACCGGTCTCCCTCCTAGGGTGGTTGGGAAGTTTAGGGGAAATACTGGATCAAAAGACGCAGAAGGGCGCGAGTGTTGATGATTGAAGGGAGGGCGCTCAGGCCCTCCTTTGGAGTTAAAGGGCCCCTCCTGGGACGGGGAGAGGTTCTCCCAGCTTGTGCAACCTCGTGCGTCGCACAACCACCGTGTGCCCTGCGGGTCTCCGAGGCCCGCCCACGGGGCAGGATGCGGGTGGCAGGGTTTTGTGGGTTTTTTTTTTTTTTTTAAGATTTTTATTTATTTATTTATTTGAGAGAGCGCGCACGAGAGGGGGGAGGGTCAGAGGGAGAAGCAGACTGCCCGCTGAGCAGGGAGCCCGATGCGGGACTCGATCCCGGGACGCAGGGATCATGACCTGAGCAGAAGGCAGTCGCCCAACCAACTGAGCCACCCAGGCGCCCCGGGTGGCAATTCTTACTTCACATCAAGTGTTAACGTCCAAATCAAGTCCCTCCTAGAGTGCCTTGAGGACGGCCCTAATCAGTAGTTTTTATTTAATCCTATAGATAGTCGTAAATGGGATTGTCGATTTTGGAAAGCCATAATTCTACAACCCACCTTCCAAGTTCATTTTTTCATTCCCCACAGGCTTTTCTTTGGCATCTGCGGAGACAGTGAGCAGCAGACCTGCAGGTTGAAGCTTAAAAGTGAGGAATGGATCCCTGAAATGAGTAAGGATGGGTGCCGGAAGGCCCGCTACATACGGCCGCCTCACACTTTATTCTGGTTTTAAATTCAGTTTTATGAACACGTGGACATAAAAATCCAGTTAGGGTGAGAAAAATGGACCCAAAGTCTGGAAATGAGCAGGGCCTATGTCAGTGTGATTTGGCGCCACTAGGTGTCACTGTTTGGAATCAAAAGGGTTGCTGCACACAGGGATGGGAGGGAGACTTAGGAAATGGGTTTTGGTTGGCTGGGGTTTAGAAATATTTGTGGATTATTGAAGTTATCCTTGTCTGAAAGGACATCTTTTGTGAAGAGTTCTGATGCCTTGAGGCTCAGCCTTTTAAATACCAATTTTGAGGTAACATCTTGACATCGTTTCTGTTAGAATGAAGTATATTACCCACATTTCCCTTAGAGATTAAAGGTGTTGACTGTAGACTTTGAAAAATTCAAGTGAAAATCATCATCTTAAGATGTTGAGTGTAAGGACTTTTTTGATGAAAGTTTTATAAATGGGAAGATTTTTTTTTAGCTCTTTGGCAGAATTGCAGAGATTAGCGTCCCGTTAGTGCCTTGTTAGATTTCAAGGATGTGAGCCTCCTAGGATTGTTCCTGCCCAGATAAGGGAAGGAGTGTGGAACTCTGCTAGCCTCCTTGCCAAGCAGTCTCCCAAACTGTTAAACAATCTTAAGTGGAGTAGATATTTTCTCCTTTGCTACTGAGTAAACAAACTGAGGCTTAGAGTTAATACAGCTGTTTCTTGTGTTTTGTTTCGTTTTTAAAGATTTTATTTACTTGACAGAGACACAGCGAGAGAGGGAACACAAGCAGGGGGAGTGGGAGAGGGAGAAGCAGGAACCCTGCTGAGCAGGGAGCCTGACGCGGGGCTCTATCCCAGGACCCTGGGATCATGACCTGACCCGAAGGCAGACGCTTAACAACTGAGCCACCCAGGTGCCCCTGTTTCTTGTTTTTTAAAGAACCATAAAAACAGGGCAAATTTTGTGAGGGTGCTATTAACCTTTTTTCAGTTTCATTGAGAAATAATTGAGTTAAAATTAGCCCAGTCGTTCTCCACTAGGGTGGAGCATGCTGTTGGGATCTAACGGGTCCTGCTAAGTATCCTACGATGCACAAAACAGCCCCCACCACAAAGAACTACCCACCCAGAATGTCAGAGCTGAGATTGAAACTTGTATTAGACTAACATGAGAGATCTGGGCCCTAGTCCCGGCTCGTTAGCAAATAACCCCACCAGAGCCTAATTTCTTTGTAAAATCAGGTTACTGCTTTCCAGACCTGGTTGTATATCCAAGGCACCTACAAAGTGTTAGAAGTACACCTCCAGCCATGGATGAGAATGACCCTCAATCGAGGCCCGAGGATTGTGTGGCCATCCCAAGAGCAGTCATATAGGAACAGTTGGATGAACTGATCTACTTGTATTACAACAAGATTATAGCACTGGCTATTTTTAAGTAGCTCTTGGGGGCAGATCTATAATCCTCTACTTAAAAAACTGCTCTAGCTCTGTGGATCATTGTGTACGCAGAGGTGAGTGAAGGAGAAATGACCTTGTGTGATGGTGCCTTCTGGCAGCGGGTTACCTTTGTACAGCTGGCCTTCAACAGGATGTCCCAAAGGAGTAACCACACATTTTACTGACACTGAAATATACACCCCATACATACTCTGCTATCGGGCACTTTGTGCCGAGGTAGACTCTGTCTTTGAAAGGGCAGGAAGCGTCAGTCAGGTCTGGGATGCTGGGTACATCTAGGCACTAGGTATCAGCAGTTTTTACCCTGAAGGAAAGTTTTAATAAAGTAGACAAGATTGAGAATTCTTGTGAGGGAAGCAAAGCAGAATTTTGTAAGGAAAAAGTGGTCTGCCTCTGCTAGAAGTGTCAGCCCGTGAGCTGGTGGATTGGCAGGAGCTGAGTTCATGATGATCTAAAGTTATCCCTGTCTGAAGGCAAAGAAGCCTTTCTGTGGAATATGGATGTCTGAAACTCAGTTCCTAAGTTTGCTTTATAGAAAATTTAGGCCAGATTTGAATGTGAGCTACTTGAGAGTTACCCGTGTATATCTTAAGTAGATTTTTCTTTTGCAGTTTCTCCTTGCCAGGTGCAGTCTCCGCCTCGGTTTTTGAGGCTGGAAAAGGATCCTGCAGAAGCAGATGGCAGCGGCAGCGCCAAATCCGCTGCCCTGGGCCCGAAGCGGAGACGTCTCTTTTGTATGTAAGTAGAGCCCTTCCAAATAGACCTGGATGGGATGTTTGTTTGCTGCTTCTGCCTCGGGTTTAGGATTGTGCTGGGTGGCAGGGAGATTTTAACATGGGTTTGTTTGTTTGTTGTTGTTTTTTTAAGATTTTATTTTTTGACAGAGACACAGGGAGAGAGAGAGAACACAAGCAGGGGGAGTGGGAGAGGGAGAAGCAGGAACCCTGCTGAGCAGGGAGCCCGATGCGGGGCTCGATCCCAGGACCCTGAGCCAAAGGCAGACGCTTAACAACTGAGCCATCCAGGCGCCCCTAACATGGGTTTGTTTTCTTTGCTAGATGTCTGCAGTGTGTGGGACAGAACTGACATGCTTTGCCTGAAGTAAGTGAAAGGACTCCTCCCTTGCTTGTAGTCTTTGTTTCCATCTTTCCTGTCCCTAGGAAGCCCCACGAGCCTATGATGGTTAGTTATCCCTGTCTGAACATCTCGGCTGAGGGGAAACCATCTATTCTGAGGCGTTGGGGTTTGGCTCTTTGCTCTTAAAAAGTTGAGGCTTTATCAGGGATCAAACTGAACGGACTCCAGAGGGAACTGTCTACCCTGCAAAGACCCCAGTCGAGTGCATCATCCCTCTGCGGCTTGAAAACTGATGGTGTGGCTGCCCTGTCGCGCTCTAGGCCCCTTGATCGACGGTCCTGGGGTACAGGCTCTAAGAGGGGGCAGAAATGGGCAAGTAGCCCAGTTGTGGGTCATGTTCTTATTGTGGAATGAAAGAGTGCTTGTCCATATTTCAAGGAAATGAATGCACTCTTTGAAACTGACGGGAATGTCGGAAGTCTGCCAGTTGTGGCAGGACTGTGACCTATCTCTGCACCACATGGTGACATTGAGGAAAGAAGGGCTGCCATGGCACCAGCAGAGCTGTTTGGTTTCCAGGTGCTTTGTTTACAACACCAGGGAGCTCTCCTAGGGTTAGCTGAGATTGGGTCTGGACGGCATGATGGGCATGGGGCTGCTCCTGGGGTAGCCGAGGGCTGAGGGGCTGTCATGCGAACAAGAAAGTAGCCCAGTGATACTGGGCCGGGAGGGTGTCTGGCTTTGTTCCCATTTAAATGCCAGACTTAGAGTGGGCAGATGGCCTTTTTCTGTTGAAATTGGGGGGTATGTATGGGCTTTTTGTATTTAAGGTCACATAATTGTTCAGTCACCAAGGAAGCTAGATTTGGGGTGGGATTTAATCCTGAAAACTGGCCCCAGCAGCTTACAGCCTGTAAGTAAAACCAAGTAAAAGGATGTGTTTTAGCGAGTCGCGAAGTTGACTTCTTAGGTTATCGTTGCTGCAGAGTAGCTTTGACTGCACCACGGGACTCACGTAGACCTTTAGGTTTGACTTGAAAAGCTTAACCTCCAGAAAGGGGTTGAATGAGAATGTCCCCAGTGCTTCGTGGTGGTTCTTCCCTGGCCCCTTGCCAGACCCTGCTCCCTTTGCACATTAGCTCCTGAGGGCAGGCTGTGGTTTCAGGTCTTCCGGGAATCCTAGCAGCCTGCTTTGAAGCAGTCTGTGCCAGGTGGTCCCCTCAACAGCATGGGCCTAATGTTCGGCTACAACGAGCGCTGCTACGATTGCCTCTTCTTCATTCAGTTTGGCTTTCAATCTTGAGTCCCCTGCTTGACTGATCCATCAAATGACTCTCCTTTGGTCTTGCAGGTTATCTCCTCAGGACAGGCGGTGCCAGGTGGAGCAGCGCGGCCTCTGTTGCTAATTGTTAATGCCTGCAAAATAATCCCCCAAAGGGAGAATAATTGAAGAATTCTTTGGACTTTGTCTTCGAAAGGAGCCAAAGAGTTTGAGTGACAGCTCATCCTGCTGGCAGCCAAATCAGGGCGTAACTAAGAAAATCCAGAATGCCGCAGTTGAGCTGATCTGGGTGTAACTGGTGCACTGGGAAGAAGGCAGTGATTGTGAACTGAAAAGGGTTAATGTGTATGTGCTGTTTTGGGGAGACTGAGCGGAAGCAGGTGCTCAGCCTAGAAAGGGGTTTCTCAGAGTGGATTTCCTGTGAAGTTAATGTATCTTGGGCTTAAATTTTGAAGCACAAATAAAAGTTTTTAAAAATGGGTTTTTGTAACATGGATTTCATGTTGAGACCCTCATCCTGGGATTTTATTCTGTTGACTTAGCTAATACATTTTTATATAAATGAAGGTTTCACAGAATACTGTTTTTCTTTTTTTAAGAGGGGCAGAGGGAGAGAAAGTCACAAGCAAACTCCATGCTCAACGGGGGGTTCGATCTCATAACCCTGAGATCACCAGTTGAAATCCCATCGAGTTAGACACTTCTGGGCCCTGTGCTCAGCAGGGAGTCTACTTCCTCCCCCCAAGAGTGGGACACTTAACCGACTGAGCCACCGAGGTCCCCCAAGTTTCATAGGATGCAATCAGATGTTTTAGAAGTTCCCCATTAAGTTGATTTTCTGCACCTCTTAACGGGTTACCACCCACAAACATAACGTTAGCATTTCTCAAATCTTAACGGATTGACAAGAGGTTCTGAAAGCTCCAGATGTGACGGGAATAAGGACAAGTAAAGTGTCCTGGGTACAAGGCGCCAGGCGGCCTGACTTAGGCTGTGCTGACTTACAGGGGCAGTTGGATTTCTTTACTAGTAAAGGTCACTATCAGATGGCAGAATGGACTGATACTTGGTACCAGGTTTCCCACGTTTGATGGTGTTCTTCCCAGGCCAATAATTCTATCCAGAGAAATATACCTGGGACACTGCTGTCCTTGAGATCAAGGGACAGTTCAAAGTTGCCAAGCTAAAGGGAGAGGCCTTGGCCTCCTGCTTGCTACTCCTCTCCAGTCTAAACTGCTCACCAGCCACAGGAGGCGGTGGTTTCAAGCAGCTGCCTCCAGCGTGAAAGCCCAGGTCTTTGATCACATACCTGAATTTCTAAAGTAGTTTGATTCCAGTGACAGTTCATCCCTCTTAAACATGCTCATAGGATCTGCCTTCTAAAACCACAGAGCCAGAGGCCAGGTCCTGGGCCTTGGTGAATTAGTCAGTGGTGGTCAAAGCCACCTCAGGAAGGCTTTGGACAGTGGAGCAGATCAGACTGTCGAGCTACTTGTCCTCAGGCCAGTAAATCCCAGGGCTGAAGGGCTATATGGTGATAACTTGGTTAGCCGAGACTTACCCTTCCAATAGAGGCCCATGTGCTCTGTCTAAAAGGAAACTGCCTATTAACTAAGCCCAGCTTTACTGAAACCATGATGTGAAGCTGAGGGTTCATTACCTGATTGTGTCGTCTTTCCAGTGGCCAGGTGGTAATCCGTCCATTATGACTTAGGCCGGCAGCCCTCTGTGCAGTTGACCCCTGTCAAATTACCAGGGCTGGCCCATGGTCCTTTGAATTTTCTGAGTGATCTGCATGCTAAACACTGTCGTGTATCACCCCCAGCCCCCTTCCCAACACACAGAAAAGACACAAGGGTCATCCTGTCATTTATGCAAGTACTTAGTTCAAATTACATTCTGCCTTTTGTGCTCCCACTTTATCATGGGGCAGGAGGAAGAAAGTGGTCATGTTCTCAGGTGGTTTAGGCGTGTCTATGGCTGGGGAATGTGTGAGCCTGTACTGCTGCTTGACCCTGGTCAGTGGAGATGGTGCAGTCACTGCACCGTCATCCTCAGGTTCCGTACCAACTGCTGGGTTTGAGATCTCTGCTCCGAAGTAGGTTTGCCCTTCGCTGGTGAGGGTCACAGTCTCATCTTGTGTTACCTTCGGTTTTAAAACATCCAGCAGAGCAGTCTTTTTTTCCCTTCACCCAAGGTCGGGATGTCTGTCTCCAACCCAGAGGGGAGTTTTCGTGGACAAACCCAAGAACAGGATGGGGTGCCCCACAATGAACAAGCTTCAGTGAGTCACAAATCCACCTCTTAACGTCCCCTGGAGAAGAAGGGGTGGGTGGAGGGGAGCCGGAGCCCTTCTCAGAGGCTGGAAAGACCGGGGGCCGCTTAGGCCACGTGAGGGGCCGGGGCCACAGGTCCCACGGCTCTGCGAGAACAAAGGGCTTGGCTACGTCAGGGTCAGCGCTGGTACAGTCGAAGGATGCCGGCCTTGTGCAGGTTCTTCCACAGGGTGGCTTCCAGGGAGAGGTCGTGGTTGACATAGAATATCAGTGGTTTCTTTATTCGCTCGAAATAGTGGTCAGAAAATTTCCAGTAGTTGCTTGTGATGAATCCATAGGCACTAACCTGGACAAAGGACAGTCATTGAATTAGAATTTATTGAGCTCCGTGCAGACAGATGTGAAGTGACATGAATTGGGAAAGTCACCGTACCCCCCCCCACCTTCCTTAGATGCCGTGTCCAAGACAAAAATAAACAATAGCTGGAGCTCGAGCTAACGGCAGGCCCTGTGCTCTTGGCCACGTTCTCTCAGCCTCGGGATAATCTCGGGTATTATCCCCATTTCACAAGGGGGGAAGCTCGGAGAGAGAACCGGACACGTCCTCAGTCACGCGCTAGCGAGCGGCCAGGCTGGGGTTTCAAAGTCGGGTTTGCGATGCGGGATCTCCTTCGCTAAGCTCGAGGTGGAGACAAAAGCCCATTACTCCTTGTGGCTCGTTCTAATGGGAGCGCAGTCGAGACACTGCTGCCTTAAAAAAGTTGGGAAAAGGATTATGACGGCGTCATGGAGCGGCCCTTGGTCTCCAGCTCTTGTGCTGGCTTTAGTGCGCTCACTGCCTTTCCTCGAAAACTGCTTCTCAGCTTCTGCTGGGCTCCTGTGGGCAGCACCGGGAACATCTCAGGCAGTGAGTTCAGAGGTGGTGGAAGGCTAAACCTGCCGCCCAGCTCAGTTCTAGAAGGATGTCTTTATCCACTCCTTTGCGATTTTGCTTTCACAAGAACAATTTGATAACATGCGCCTTCAATACCACAAGGGTGAAGGACAGAGGTGCCTGGGCAGGTGGCTCCTGGAGGAAGGCAAGGCTGGCCCAGCACCTGTCCTGGAAAGGCCCCTGCGTAGCCCATGTGGAGGTAGCTCAGGAGTGGCACTCCCTCCTACCCCCTTCCAGAGACCAGCTTTTGCTCCTGCAGCTGGAGAATCCCTTCCCTACAGGGGCGAGGCCGCGTCCCAGGCCCGAGGGTGACAGGCCTCCTGTAGGGGTTATCACGGATCAGATTAGGTTCCACCCACACCTGTCCTCTGCTGCTGTGGGCTCTTGAAAGGGAAGGCCTCTTACCTGGTCACAGGTGTGCAAAGCTGTCAGCAGCATGAGGGCCCCAGTGCTAGGCATATATAGGTTTCCAAAATTTGTGTTAATCAACTTTGATTTCAAAAACCTGGAGACGAAAAGTGGCATCAAAACTCAAGAAAGAGGTGTAGGTCTCACTCGATGGTTGTGCCCTTCGCCTTTCCAGCTACCAGTTCAGATGGCCTGGAAAACTGTTCAGAACTTCCTGGCTCTTCGAGTGCAGTCCATTCCCCATTTAGGGAAAAACCCAAATGAAGCAAACGCAAGCGTGGGTAACAGAGTGGGGTGAGAAAGACGAGCAGGCCTGTGCAGAAGAACCCCAGGTATGATCCTTCCCTCTCCCACTCTAGAAGCGTGAACCCAGCCTGAGTCCCCTTTCCTCTCTGCAACACCCTGCCTTCACCCCTGGCCTAAGTAACCGCAGTGGGTAGGGGACAGGTGGCCTATTTATCTAGCCTGAGACCTAGGTTTCTTTCTTTCCACAGACTTCGGCCCAGCAAGAATCCCTCATGAGGGACATGAGGGGCAGGGCACCCAGGTCCTGGGCCTGGAGTCACTGGTGAGATAAGTGTGTGCACACACTCTCAGAATGCAAAAGTGAGGCCACAGGACGGTGGCCACAGGCCTGACCTCAGCCCGGATTCACATCTAAGCTTTACCAGACAAACCGCCTAGCCTCTCTGAGCCTGTTTCTTCCTCTGTTGAGTGGGGCTGTGAGTGCCAGCACCAGGAGGCCTCCCCAGATCCACTCGCCACCCTCCACCTGCTCTCTGGGGATGCCAGCCACGGGGTGACAGCAGGGCTTCTCAGCCATGGCACTATTGACGTTTTGGGCCAAATAATTCTTTGTTGCGGGGGCATTCTGTGTATTGTATGATGCTCGACAGCATCCCTGTGTCTACTTGGTAGTGATGCTTACCTAGTGACAACCAGAACGTCTCCAGAGAGGGGCACGTGACCCCCCCCCACACACACACGCACATTGGAACCACTGGTAGAGGGAGAGGGCCTGAGGTATTTCCAGGTTCCTCCCTGTGGTCGCCTTGGACTGCCTGTGTTTGGGCCCAATACAGGTTAGCGCTCGCTGTAGGTTACAGCGTCTGGGCCATAAAGGACCTGCAGTGATGGGCTGGTGTGCAGGGGGGCTGGAGGGAGGAGCTGTTCTTTGTGCACCCCCCCCACACACACACCTACCTCTCCCTCAGGTAGCTGATGAAGTCTGGATGTAGTAGCTTGAATTTCCTGGCAGAGGCTTCTGGTCCGAAATAGGTCTGAGGCCTAGGACCCATGAAAGAAGTGGACAGAGCGGCCCGAGCCGTCGTATGGCAAGGGGAGGGGAAAGGCGCTAGGCCTACGGCGGTAGCGGTCCGGGCGGGGCTGGGTGTAGTAGCGGGAGAAGGGCGTGTAGAAGGTGGCCGGCAACACCGTGGGCACCACGTGTGGCTTTCCGCTCACCAGGACCTCGGTGGGCAGGGTGTAGGTGAGCGAGGAGGGGGGCGTGAACAGGGCGGGAGGGGTCGGGAAGGAGCAGTTAACCCGGGGGTGGTGGGGAGGAGGTGGGAGCAGGGGGAAGTAGAGAGAGTCCGGGATAGGAGGGGGCTCCCGGGCCGGGCAGGGGAAGGAGCAGGGGAAGCACTGGTTCTGGGGCAGGGGTGTGGTGGGGGGCTGGAAGAAGGGGGGTTCCTTCAGGAAGCGGGGCACGTAGGGGGCGATGTAGGAGGGGATGCCCCGAATGGGTCCGATGTAGGAGGCCGAGGTGGCGGGGCTGTGGGAAGGGGACCGGGGGGTAGGCACGGGAGGAGTTTGGGAAGAGTTTCGAGAGAGGGATTTCAAGCCAGATTGGGAAGGAGATTTGGAGGTGGGTGGAGTGGGGTTTTGGGAAGATCCTCGGGGCACATGTTGGATATGAGGGCTGGGGGTCAGGGACGAAGCCCGGGAAGAGGGCTGTGAGGCAGATGGGGTGGCAGGGTGAGAGGGGGGCCGGGAGGAAGACCCCCGGGTGGGGGATGGAGAAGGGGCTGAGCCACCAGAGCTGGAGTAGGCCTGCTGGTTGGAAGGGGCCATATGGTTGGACCGGGACTGGGAGGGGGACTGGGTAGGGGATGGATTGGGGGTATGGGAGGGGGAGCTCATTGGTGTTGGGGAGGCTTACGACCACCTGATCGATGTCTCTGAGCCAGCCCCCCCCAAGAGCCCAGTCCCACCCGTGTCACAAAGTCCCCCCTCATGACCAGCTGTGGTGTCACGAGTGATTGTTGGATCGTCACAAGGGGGCGGCGGTGCAGGTGGGCCAGAGTAAGCGGGCCTGGCCTTTGAGGGCTTAACCCCTAAGGACCTCAGAATTTGCTCTTTCGGGGGTGGGCGGCATGGTCCAGAAGCACTGAGATAGGAAGGCTGGTCTTCGTGGCTGCAAAGGTGGCATGGATTTCTAAGGACCTGACTTTGGGACAAGAAATTGTCTCAGCACCACAGGGAGAAGGTTCGGCTGAGGCCAGGACATGGTTCAAAAGAGCTGGACACCGGCCTGCTGCCCGGGAAGGTGGGGGAGAAAAGACAGAGTGCCCTTTGTTCTCTCTTTGCAGGACACTGGGCCCACGTCACCTGCTCTCCGTTTCACGGGCACAGATCCTGGGAGGGTGCCCACTGGGATGAGGGCCATGGATAGCGGGCCCGCCCCCCCCCGACCCGGCCCTGCTTCCAGACACAGCGTGCTCAGCCGGCCAGCAGAGTCTGGAGTGGACGAGCGTGGCCAGTGCTGCTGGCTGGGGGGCTGTGTGGGGAAGGGGCCAGCAGCCCACAGCTGAGGAGCCAGGCCTACCTTGCTCCACTCAGAAAAGCGGCCCTTCAGGGCTACAGCCCACCCCGTCAGGCGGGCTCCTGGGGGCCAGGAGGGTTACCTGGGCTGCTCGGGGGGTAGGAAAAAAAGAGCGTAATTCCCCAACAGTCGACTGAATTCTTCAGGATTTTCTTGCTGTCCTCACCCACTTTCCCAGCCTGACAGTGGGCCCAGCACTACCACACCCCGTACCCGCCCGGCTGCTCACCTGTCCCCTTTATCAGGGCCCTCGGGAACAGGCACACCCAGAATGGCCGATCTCAGCATCACGTAGTCCCGGATGTCAGAGGGGATGAAGATATAGTGCAGGTCCTGTCGGGGCGACAGAGACCCTGAGCCAGTCCCTCCCGGCCCCCCCAAACAAGACTGTGTCCAGCACCTGCTCAGCCCTCCACCCGGTCCTGCCACCTGTCCTGATGGGGGAATTTCTGCTCTCTGCCTGTCACCCCCACTCCCAGGTACCATGGTGGTTTCAATGCATGGTCACAAATCTTTTGGTAGGTGAGGCTTACTTGCCATCCGCTTGAGTGACTAATGAATAGGAGGAAGTGGAAGGGATGGCGTGTGACCTTGGAGACGAGGCTACAAAGCTCCCTGGGACCCCCTGCGCTGGGTGAAGTGAGCCGCCATGACCTGGGGACACTCTAGTAGCCTAGAGAGGCGCCATCTGGACTCTGGCCTCCTTCAAGCCTTCAAGTGCCCGTAGCCCCTGTTGATGCTGAGCCAAGACCATTGTGCTAAGCTGTTCCTGAATCCCTGACCCCCTGAAACTGTAAGATAATAAATGTTTGTCGTTTAAAGCTACCAAGTCTGGGGTAATTTATTAACGCAGTGGTAACTCATACAGGTAGTGTGGCCGGAAATAAAAGCTGCTCTGTTTTGTTCTGTCACGAGCTAAGAGAGGTCCTGCTGTGGCTACGGCACTCCTGGATTTCCTGCCCAGAGGAGGAAGCTTCTAGAAACCCGGCCCGGTCTTCTCAAGCACCACAGAGCCCTTATCCTGGAATCTCCCCTCTTTATGTGGCACCCAGACAGCTCTTGAAGGGAGGAGCAGTGTTCCCGCGACTGGGTGTGGCTGCACAAGCCGCAGGCAGTGGGCGGCCTTGAATTCTGGCTCCCCTGCTCCCTGGCTGGGCACGCAGTTCCGTGCCTTTGGACTTCAGCCTCCCTCCTAGGCTGCTGTGGGATCAGGAAGGCAGCTCAGGGAAATGGGAGACAGCCCTAGCGCTAGTGTGGTCAGAGGGGCCTGGAGGTTGCTGATTTTAGCTGCGCGGTGGCCTTGGGTGGATGTGCTGCCATCAGGAAACGGGCAGCTGTGCCAACCATGTTTACTGCCGGGAACAGAAGAGACGCTCAGTAAGTACCCTTCCCCTGTGCGTAGCGTGAGCTCTGGCCGGGGGGCGGGGGGAGGCAGTCCTTGCTGAAGGAAGGGCACCCAGCCTTAGTCTCCTCACCAGTAAAACGGGGCTGACATGGCATCCCGTAAAGAGCCTGGCACCCCATAAGCTTCCAGTGAGTATTAGGCTTTCATGCTCTATCCCAGAGCAGTCCTGTGCTGCCAGAAACTACGGGGTGTCCCTGCTTGGATCCCCCTCCTCAGTGGCCCCATCACATGCACCCAGGATCCTGGCACAAGCTCTCCATCTACTGGACTGGGGCCACTGTGGTTCGCCTCACAGAGGGGACTCTGGGAACAGCGGCACTGACCGTCAGTGACAGTGGCAGGCCCATCAGAAGCCTCACCTGGCCTTGTGGCACGGAGGTGAAGCCGAAGTTCCAGTAGGAGATGAGGGAGTTCTTCATTGTGTTCACAGTGAAGCCGTAGAAGGAGGTCTTGGTGCCCACATCCTTTTCGAAGCCTTTGATCACAGCACCGTTGAGTCTGGTCCAAACAGAGGTCTGTCAGCCTCCCGATGGTCACACGTGCTGTTTGTACTTCCTTCCCCGGGGTTCTGCCGCACCTGTCCCCAGGCCTCTGTGCAGACTGTGCCCCTTGCCCAAGGCAGCACCAGTGCCCCATCCAGCCCATTCCCACTTCTCCAGACCTCAAGGGATGGCCTGTGAAATGGGCACATCTGGCCCCGGCGGCTCCCTCCCTGCTGGCACGCGGCACCCACACTCCCATCTTCAGGGTCTGTCTGCCCGTCCCGACGGTGGAGCTGCCCCGGCCCATGGCCCTCCCAGAGGATGCTCCCCCAGGGGCTGGCTGGGGACTAGCTCCATTCCCAGCTCCTCTCCCACCTCCTCCCTGGCTCCTGCACCGCATACCTGAACACGTAGTCATGGGCATCGATGTTCAGACCCTGGCGGGAGCCATTCAAAATGCCTCCGTTCCCCACCACCGCACACCGGATGCACGTGGAGAGCAGCTTTCCGGAGGCGGCGAACAGCTCGGAGCTCTCTGAGCCATTCAGGAGGCTCAGGGTGGAGTTGATGGCTGTGGGGGCCAGACAGGGCAGGGCGCCCTGAGTGGGGGCTGTCCCGAGACACTTTCTGGCATGCCCCCTGCCAGAGGCCCGACACCAGCCTCATCCAAGGCACAGAGGGTCCGGGGAGAGCAAAATGTCAGTGGGGCCATGCAGGCTGAACTGGGGGGAGAGGATCTGGCTGTACCCTGTCACCTCAAGAACTCGAATAACTAGTCCTCTCAAGACCGTATGCTCCACAATAAAATAACGTGAGGCAGTTTGAAGGGGGGGAGGTGCTCTGGGCAGTTTCCCACAGCGGGAACCATGGGCAGGCTGTCTGAGGACCCCCCAGCCCCTGTTCTCGGCCGCCTTGGGACACTGGCCCCAGGAGGTGAGCGCTGGTCAGCAGGCACATCAAGCCCCCTCCCTGATCCCCTGGTGCTTGTAGGGGCTGGTAGGTACGGCAGGAGTCACACAGCAGGGGGGGGGTGTCGAGCCCTGAGACCTTTCGGGAAGGAAATGGGCAGGGGGGTGGGGTGTATGAGGGGGGTCCCCATAAGGTGCTGTGATGGCAGGCTGGCACCTGGGCCAAAAGCAGGAGGAAGGGATTCTCTGGGGCCAGAGGGCTGGGCAAGAAGCAGCCACTTCCAATTACCTTGGCGGGAGAGCCCCTGCCAGCCATAGGGGGCTTTGTGCTGGCTCAGTCTGTCCCAGAGCTCCTGAGTGAAGAGGCTCCCCGAGAGCAGCACTGGAGCGGAGAGATCGAACAGGGCACGGAAGTGGGCGTGCTTCTGGATGGCCAGATAAAGCGGGTGTTGGCAGCGCGGGCTCTGTGGGGCAGGAGATAGTGCCGAGCTCCATTAGCTGGGGGCTGTGGCTGGTGGGAACCTTCCTAGGAGCCTGCAGGCCCTGCAGGCTGGTTGGGAGGGAAGAGCTACCCTTCGCCTCCAGACTTGGTCCACCCCCAGACCTGCCAGCTGAGCTCGCTTGTGGCACAGTGGCGTGGTGGGGGTCAGAGAGCTTTCTGGCTTTACCCTGCCCAGCCCTCTCTCTCCTGGATGCCACCTATCCAGGGCCTGGTGGCTCTGGCCTCTCACTCCTTCACTTCACACTTAGGGCAACTTTGGGGCGTTTTCCCACCAAGTGAGTAAGATCCGCCTGCCCTTTGGTGGAAGAATTGCAGCCTGGGCTTTGGAATCCATCAGCCTGGATCCAAATCCTAGCTCTGGCTATTCTCACTGTAAGGTTTGTAGGGGACGGGCTGCTGGAAAGATCATGGGCATTTTCGTCCAGGTGGCACCTGTACTGGGTTGACTAGTGTCCCCCCGCCCCCTTCTGTCTGCCCAGACCTCAGAATGTGAGCTTATTTGGGAATATGGTCTTTGCAGATGTAATTTATTAGGATGACGTCATACTAGTTTAGGGTGGGCCCTCATCCAATGACTGGTGTCCTTATAAAGCCACGTGTAGACAGACGCAGAGACTGGAGTGGCCTGGCCATAAGCCACAGAACCTCTGGAGCCACCAGAAACTGGAAGAGGCAAGGAAGGATTCTTCCCTGAACTTTCAGGAAGGTGGCCCTGGTGACCCCTTGATTTTGGATTCTGGAGTCCAGAACTGTGAGAAAATCAATTTCTCTTATTTTCAACCCCCCAATTTGTGCTAATTCCTTTCAGAAGCTCTAGGAAACTATACAGTACCTCTGCGCACAGGGACCTGGAGGGACGGTACTGAAGAGGGTCCCACCCCATCCGCCTGCAACCCCCAATGTCCGAATCCTGCACTGCCTCGCCCTGTGTGGGGCTACCCTTCCCACTGAAGGGGGCTCTTTGTTAAGACTGCGGGTTTGACCAATGCAGGAAGGAGCTCTGCAGTAATTTCTGCTATAACGTTACCTATGGATGCCTAAAAACCACCACACTATGCAAAACGGGTGCAGTCAAAACCACCGGGCTTTTAGGGAATGGGATGAGTGGCACAACACTCAAAAGCTTTGTCAGTGATGGATGACAGGACAAACGAAGGGCCTAACAAAGCTGGAGGCACAGTCTCACACATCCTGTGGTCAAGATCTACCACATTCTACTAAACATATGGCCCTTGACCTTGGAAAAGACTTGACGTCGGCCTGTGTGAGTGGGCTTCAGGAGGGTGGCAGCTTGTGAGTTACTGTGAAGTAGTGCAAAGAGGGTTAGAGAACAATGAAGTGCGTATCTGAAGGGCGCATGTGTGTGCGTTTTGTGAATTCCTTCGAGGCTCCCTTCGGTTGGGTGCGGTTCTCTGCATTTAACCTTAGTGTTCTCAACGACAGAGTCACTCATAAGGAAACACAAAGTTTGTGTTATGCTCAAAGTGTTTCCTAAGATACCAATCTTATTGGAACAAATTCACATTTTCAAAGCAAGCATTGTAGCAGAACCAACTACTAATTTCACTACCTTTCAGTTCATCCTTGGGATGTTTTCCAGGGCCTTCTTTAAGAGGTACCAGGAGAAAACTCTTCAGTCTTTGTATTGGGGAAGGCTGTACTTCACTTGGGCAGCTGGTTTGCTCTTATCTCATGGACACAATGGCAAATTTCCTTCTTCACTGTGGCCACCAGGAAGCTCAGAGCCAGATCTATGGCCTATCCCTTATGCATGGGATAGGGAATAGGGAACGATGGGCCCACCATTCATGCACTTCTCTACATGACATTGTCTTATTCTCCTACCTTTATTTTTCCTTTGGCCATTTCTTCATTTTATTCTATTTTATATTTTTGCCTTGGTATGTGTATCCAAAAGCCACCTCGAATCCTTTTTTTTTTTTAAACCCAGTGGGGATATGTCAGTTCGCATCAAGCAGCTCAAGGTGCACAGGGCTTTAGGAAACTTAAAAGATGACCCATAAGTACCCATAAGATGCTTGAGACTTCTCTTTAGCCTTGCAGGCCAAGTGCCCACCCCGCCTCTGTTCTCAAAACAGGGACCCCCTCACCTGGCCCAGGGCTACTTGCTCCGTCTCTGAAACAGCTTAGCTGTCACTACGTTCTACAGGAAGTGGAATCTTTTCCCCCCTGCAGGCCTCAGCTAACAAGTCCCAGGTTATTCTCTTGGGCATGAACACGACTCTTAAACCCAGGACCTGATCTCTCTGTGCCTCGCTGCGTCCATCTGTAAAAGCTACAGGACAGGGTTGCCATGCGGCTTTCGTGAGAGAACACGGGTAAAGTGCTCGAGGCAGCATGATTTGTGATGGAGCAGGGCCTCGAAGGTTCTCAACCCCCTGTGCAAGCATGGAGAATCTTTCCAAGGCTGGCTTGTTTACTCCATGGAGAGCAGTTTAAAAATGTGTGAATTTTATAGTAAGAAGGCATTTTATAGTAAGAAGGCACCTGGCCGGCTCAGTCTGTAGGGCATGTGCCTCTTGATCCCGGGGTCGTTGAATTCAAGCCCCATGGTGAGTGTAGATTACTTAAAAATAAAATCTTTTTTTTTTTTTTTAAAGAATTTACCTATTTATTTGACACAGAGAGAGACAGCGAGAGAGGGAACACAAGCAGGGGGAGTGGGAGAGGGAGAAGCAGGCTCCCCGCCAAGCAGGGAGCCCGACGCGGGACTCGATCCCAGGACCCCGGGATCATGACCTGAGCCGAAGGCAGACGCTTAACGACTGAGCCACCCAGGCGCCCCTTTAAAAATAAAATCTTAAGTGTTGTATGAAAGGAGAGAAGGTTAGCACTCCCCTTGACAAGGATGGAAGAGGCCCTCGGGCCTGACCACACACATACGGTTAAGGCATTGCCACCTACTTCGTGGCATCTAACCAGGGGAAGAATGAAGGGGAGTAAGTCGGAGGGGGAGACGAACCATGAGAGGCGATGGACTCTGAGAAACAAACTGAGGGTTCTAGAGGGGAGGAGGGTGGGGGGGTGGGTTAGCCTGGTGATGGGTATTAAAGAGGGTACGTTCTGCGTGGAGCACCGGGTGTTATGCACAAACAATGAATCATGGAACACTGCATCAAAAACTAATGATGTAATGTATGGTGATTAACATAACAATAAAAAATAAAATAAAATAAAATCTTTAAAAAAATGTATTTTGAGTAGATTGCCAAATTCACAGGCCTTTTAAAGGTAAGACTTCCGGGCTCTCGGGTGGCTCAGTCGTTAAGCGTCTGCCTTTGGCTCGGGTCATGATCCCGGGGTCCTGGGATCGAGTCCCGCGTCGGGCTCCCTGCTCGGTGGGAAGCCTGCTTCTCCCTCTCCCACTCCCCCTGCTTGTGCTCCTGCTCTTGCTATCTATCTCGCTGTCAAATAAATAAACAATCTTAAAAAAAAAAAAGAAAGGTAAGACTTCCTAAGAACTATTCTCCCGGCTACACCCCTTCTCTGCTCCTGGGGTGCAGGGAACCCTGGTGGCCAGGCCTGGCTGGCTGCTCAGCTTGACGTGTAATGTTTAGAGGGTCCAGAGAGCTCCCGCCCAACAGTCTCATGAGAATGTTCTCATTTGCTCTTCTTTGTCCCCTCCTCCCCGTTAACTTTTGAAGATGCTCGAAACTGCCAGAGGAGTCGACCATTGTACCTTTCTTGTTCCAGCATTTGATGCCTTGCGTCCAAAGAATGCTCGAGATGATGTGGCGTTCCTGGGGGAGAAGCAGAAGTAAATCGGGGTCGGACCTGCCCCTCGGAACCTTCTGATTCTAGCTCCAGGGGCTGACAAAGCCCGTCAGAGTCAAGATGGCATTCGTTTGATCTTGCCAGGCTCTGATTTTTGCCCATGTCTCCCTCTTTAGGAACAAAAATACTGTCACATTAGTATGTTTTGCTCAGCCTTCTAAACCCAGAAATCCAAGAAATCCCATGGCAAGCGGCAGAAATGTGGAGTTTACAGAACACTGAGATCTGGTTCAAGGATGAAAACATACACTAGGCAAGCTTGCCAGCCCCCTGCCGCCATCTGAGGGAGCTCCCTGCCAAGGCCCCAGAGGGGCTGGTCCCAGATGACGTGGTCCCCCTTCCCCTTGGGGTGGGTGGTCCTGCCGTTGTTCCTGGCTCCTGCCCTGCGGCTCCCTGTGGAGGCCAGGGGTCTGAAGCCTCACTCCCTAGGTTTGTATCCCGTGATCTAGGGAAGTTACTTCTCAGAGCCTGTGTCTGTGTCTGGACCGCAGATATAATCAAGTGATTAATTATCATTATTAATCTTATCACATCTCCAGTTGTTGGAAGTGTTCACACAGAGACTCAAGATGATCTCATACAAAAAGTGTCCTCTAAATGGTAGCTATTGTTACCTAAAGGAAGAAGGGAAAGACCTTGTTGTGACAACCTCTATGACAGTGTCCCTTCGGGAGGGAGGGAAGGGGTTGATGTTACTCTCCACCCCTACTCCCACCTGCCAGGCGGCCCCTGCATCAGGGGAGAGAGCAAACAGAAGGACTAGGGGCCTTTGCCTATTCAAAAGGGTGTCAGGCTTCTCCTAGATTCCTGTCGCCCCTGCCCTGCCCCCCCCCCCCCCCCCCCCCCCCCCCCCC